CACCTAAATGGAGCACCTTTCTTGGTCAATTTAGTCATAGGCACGGCAATGGATGAGAAACCTTCCATAAAGCGACGATAATATCCGGCCAACCTAAGAAAACTCCGAATCAAAGTAGTTGAAGATGGCCTAGGCCAACTTTGAACTGCATCCAAATTCCTCGGATCTACACAAATCCCTTCTCTAGACACCACGTGTCCTAAGAATGCTACTGAACTAAGCCAGATCTCACACATGGTTAATTTGGCCTAAGGTTTCTCCTCCCTCAGCCTCTGTAGTATAATTTCTCAAATGTTGTGCATGCCCGTCATGGCCACGTGAGTACACTAGAATATAAACAATAAATACTACGACAAACAAATCAAGATACGGTTGAAATATATTGTTCATTAGGTGCATAAATGTTGCTGGGGCATTTGTCAGCCAAAAAGACATCACGAGAAATTCATAGTGTCCATAATGGGTGTTGAATGCAGTCTTATGAATATCCAAATCCCGAATTTGAACTGGTAATCCGCATACCTCAAATCAATTTTGGAAAATACTCTAGGTCCTCGGAGCTAGTCAAATAAATCATCAATTCGCGTCAAAGGATACCTGTTTTTGATTTTAACTTTATTCAACTACCTGTAGTTAATGCACATCCGCATAGTACGATCTTTCTTTTTTACAAATAGAACCGGTGCACCCCAAGGCAACACATAGGGAGGCCCAACTATGACTCTTGCACCAGTTGCTACACCACCCGCCCAGCCAGCTAAGGGCAGAGGTAGTGTGGGTCGAGTTTGCCGCAAAGGGGGAGCTAAGTCAGGTGGTGTTCAAGATTGTTTCTATGCATTTCCTGCCAGACTAGAGGTAGTTGCTTTNGACATACTACTCTTCTACCAATGTGGGACAATACTACACTATATACATGCTGTAAACTAACAACAACAATTGAAAGAAAGTAGGGAGGGACGGACGAACGGAAGAGGTTTATTAACAGTATCTCAGTGTTTGCTCATTTATTAACAATGATTTTTAATCTGCTACCAGTTGCAACAGCGGTTAAATGCCATGTCAAATTGCGGAGACGATGGGGACAGAAGAGAATTGGAATCGTGATGCCAAATGATACTTTTCAAGTGTAAAACACCGTGTATATTCAGGTGTCTATTTGATGTTGCTATAGCAGACAGTTTTGAAATCTTCTCTCGCAGGTAAATGCCTTGATGGATTTTATCAGTGTCATTCGCTTTTGCAGGTTGAGGTATAGGAAGAGGCAGGCTGTACTATTCTTATGTCGCTGAATCATGCGCTTGTCCTAGTTGAATAGCTCATGTGGAAGAATCCATCTCCAAGTGACAATAAGCAAAATAATCAGTGGATAGATAATTTCTTCATTTGTTTGATGAGTACGAGCTGAAAACAAGCTTTTTGTGCAGATTCACGTCTTCCAATCAAAGGGATTATTTATTTAGATATAGAAGATCGCGGAGAAGGCTCGGCGGGGAGAGGAAGGCAGAGGGTGGGGGTTGGGGATTGAGTTCTGTCCATTTTAATTGTAGATCCTTAGTTTATGTTGTAATCTGAATTGCAAAATTAAGTTGTAATTTTGTAACATATATCAATCAATGTGACCATGAATGTATTCAATAATGCTTATAGCTTCTCAAGCATCCCTCAAGCTGGTCGATGCCTGACATAATTTCATTTCTCTCCTTTCTTATTACGTCACTTGTGACATAATTTTGTATCTATTATCCTTTTGAAACTTTACTTTTTCGTGGCGTCGGACCAGTTAAACTTCTGAAGGTGTTCATTAGTTTTTCTTTTCTTCTTATCGTCTTATATTTAGGGAAGTGTAATATGTACCAGCTAGCTGTATTTTTTTAAAATCAAAATAGTTAGCATTTATTTCCTTGACAAGAGTGGATTGCTCTAGTGGTGAGCATACTCCACTTTCAACCAAGAGGTTGTGAGTTCGAGTCACTCCAAGAGCGGCAAGGTGGGGAGTTCTTGGAGGGAGGGAGCCGAGGGTCTATCGGAAACAGCCTCTCTACCTCAGGGTAGGGGTAAGGTTTGCGTACAAATTATCCACCCCACTATTGAGATTATACTGGGTTGTTGTTATTTCCTTGAATGGTGATGTTATGTTAAGCTGCACAAAACTAAATGCTATTAAACAAAGATTAGAAATAATTTGGAAACTTACTGATAGTTTGTTGATTAGATACACAATTTAGTTTTTCTTTGGTTGGTAAAACAAACATCTACAGTGAATAATTACGCTTTTGGACATCATTTTAGGTTTACGTCCTTTCCTTGTTACTACTTTAGCCATCGTATGTTTGTTCAAAAGTTGCACTATTTGGAATTTTCCCCCAAAACATGCATTTTTGGCTCAGTTTCAATGGTGTGTTAATATGCAAAAAGCAATTGTAGGGTACAAGATAAGGATAAAGACGAAGCCCTCAATAACACAGGTGATAAGTTGCCTGCCACTTATAAGTCGCATTTGTTGGCGGGAGGCTGGAGCTTATTACTCGCATTTGTTGAATGAGATTTATGGATGTCGAGTGCGATTTATGTCGCTAATACAAACATTCCTCGAAATTTTCCCCATTTTAATTCCTATTTGGACTTCCTAATTAGTTTCATCCACATTTTTCTTTTCAAAATTTACTCTTCATTTATAATTTTTCGATAGAGAATGATTTATCCCACAAAAAAATATTCCTACACAGTGTAACGAATTATTTTTCAATGAAGCATGTCACATATTTACTAAGGTCTAAAATGATTCAAAATCACTATTTAGTAGACATATGCATCAACCAAAAAAAAGGAGGTTTTGAAGTTGAAGTTAAAAAAGAGAGTTTGGAAGTATAAGAAATTGACAATCATTAATTATACATGGGTTATTATCAAAGGAATTTAAGTCACAATTGTCTATATTTTTTTTATCTAGACGAATTAAATTTTGAAATTAAAATCTATATATAACTAATAAAACTGATTAGTGACCATAATCACATTTGACATAGGCCGGTTAGATAGTAGGAAATGTGACTTATAACAAAAAATTGTATGCGACTTATAAGTTGCAATTAATGAATGCAATTTATAAATAGCATTAGTTTACGCGAAGCTAGCTTAGCGACTTCCTTACTTTGGGCACTGTTCTCAAAAAGTGCAGGATTCATGAACCTTTTCCTAACTCCATAACCTTAACCTACGCCGATCACCTAACCCCTCGCCGGCACACGTTAGATGCCACCGCCGCCGTCCACCATCTCCGACGATGATTCCTCTTACTTCCACGTCAGCAGTACTTCTTCCAACTTCACCAAAATCCTTACGATCTTCTCTTTTACCAGCTCTTCTACCTCTATATCGAGCTCGCCTCCGCAAAAAACTTAATCTGGTAATTTAACTTAAGTACTATTTCCATTTCTCTAATCTCAGCTTAACTTAATATACCAGCTTGTTTAAGTTAACTTAATGATGATGTCATTTTATTGTGTTATTTGATTTTTTGTAGAGAAGGTTGAGAAATGGAACTTGTAGGGCAGAGTTTGCAAACGACGCGCCAATCGCCGTCGCTATCGGTGCTTGCATTTTCAGCTCGTTGGTTTTTCCGACTACTTACACGGAGGATGATGACGGGGACTCCGTGATTGATTCTGCTGATGCGAGGTTTGCTGTTATGGGAATTATCAGCTTCATTCCGTATTTTAATTGGATGGTGAGATTTTTCGTCGCGTATTCATTCATTTGTTCTCGATTCACGTTTAGGGTTTAGAGTTGAGGTTTTAGCTGGTTTGACAATAACGTAAAAGCAGGGGCAGAAGCCTGTATATGTGTTAAGAAATCTACTAAATATGTGCAAAAATTAAATTCGGAATTCAGTTACTACCACTTGAGGTCCCTATCCTAAAATACAAAAATTCATTAAGTTTAAATCTTGGATCTGCCTCTGTGTAAAAGTAATTAATCTATTTAGAGGATGCATATAACTGATCCTAACTAATTTGAGATTGAGGTGTGGTTAATTGATTGATTTCATTTTTTACTTTGTAGAGTTGGGTTTTCGCGTGGTTGGATACTGGGAAGCAGCGTTACGCTGTTTATGCTCTTGTGTATTTGGCTCCATATTTAAGGTATGGAGCTCTCAAAACTTTAGTTTTCTAGCTGATGTTTTAGTATTCAGTATGTCTCTGCACCAGCCTCAATGAGTACATAATGATTTGGCTTCCTATCTAGGATGCTAAGGACCTATCTGCAGTTAACTGTATGAGCTACGATGATTGTGTTATAGAGGATATCAATTAAGTTGATAAGCATTTTTCTCAACTAATAATCTAAATAGCTAGACTACTTATTTGAACAAGTTTAAAAATTTGCTTATTCTAAAACACCTTTTGTCCTCTGGTTTCAGATTTGCTATTTTGAAATAGTTGCTTGTATATCTGGGATGTTTCTGTTGTTCAAATTTGTGTAATTCTAATTATCTTGTGAGCATTCTCTTTCTCCTTGTTAGATATATGATTTGTAGAATATCTTGAAGTTCTGCAGTTGCTTGAAGATTTAGGTTAGACTTAGTTAAACCTCGTTCTTATGGAGCTTGAACTCAAGATTTGAAGAAAGTATATTATATAATCCATCAACAAACGAATCATTAAACAATTGACTCAGTTTTCCTAATGCCTTCCTCTCCAACAACATATTAAAAAGGCCTTCCCGTCAGATAGTTGATGTAACAAACATGCTAAGAAACTGCTACTTGAGTACAAGACGTGCATGTACCTGAAGATCTCCAAATGTTTATACAATTTTCAGACTGAAATACTATAAATTAAAGTGAAGTGGTAAAGTAATCTTGACTATAACAAGCTATGTTACATGGATTTGTTTGTGGATATGTATCTAGTGCAGGGTGTCCGAAAGTATCCGGGAAGGGTATGCCAACCTTTTTGCTAATTTTAGGTGTATTTTGAAAAATCCGCATGAAATAGCCGCACCTTATCACAATTGTCATACACAGGTCATGGAAAATGAAGGATCCATGTAATATAGATGACAAGATAGGGCTCCTTTGTGCTCTCTTTCTATCAGCTTGCGCAAATACATTTATAGCATTGTACTCTCTGTTCCAGGAGTGGCTGCATATCCTTCTTGATTTCCATGATAAGCTACCAGTGTTAATGCGATTGTAAGATTTAGAGCCCGTTTGGACATAAAGTTTTTTCCTTTTTTCCAATAAAAAATTCACATTTTTTTCAAAATCAGCGTTTGTTCATAAAATTTCCAATTTTCACTTGAAGATACATTTTGGAAATTTTCGAAAATTTGAAAAACTCCAAAAAGCTGTTTTTCAAAATTTTCACTCAAATCACTCACAAAACTTCAAAAACAAACCCAAACTGAAATTTATGTCCAAGCACAACTCTAAATTTCAAATACCATTTTCACTTGAAATTTTTTTTCACCATTTTTTGGAATTTTACAATTCTTATGTCCAAACGCCTACTTAAAGTTTATTGCTTGGAAGACAATTTATCCTAACCGTTGGACTATAAACGCTTGTGAAAATTTGAAGTTTATTGTTAGTCTCAGAGGTGGCCCTAGGATTTTCACCAAGAAGCTTCAAAAAAAGGAAACAAAATGGTGCTAATGAAGCTCGAACACGGGACCTTATATAAATATTTTTTTTCCGGATCAGGTAAGAAGTTGTTTCATTAATCAAAGCATCCAGAGGATGCATCATCTTACAAAATAACAAAAGAGAGCTCCAGCAAGCATAATCTAACAGTTCACCTAATTGTTCATGGAGCTAATAAAATCTAAAAGTAAAATGGAGCTATTAGCGTCATAATGATTACACCAAGCAAAAAGATTAAGAAGACATCTAGATTTTAAAATATATGTAGGAGTTGAAGTTCCTTCGAAACATCTTTGGTTCCTTTCTTTCCAAATAGTCCAAATACTGTAATGAGGGACCATCTTCCATATACTTCTGATGGGTTTCCCAACTCTCATGTTGTTCCAGCTTACAAAAACTTCCTTCAAAGATCCTGGCATAACCCAACTAATACCAAAAAGTGTACTGAACATGTCCCATATACCTTTGGCCACTACACAATGTAAAAAGAGATGGTCTATATCTTCACGGTCATTTTTACAAGTGTAGCATCTGTTGCACAGTATAAACTTGCATCTTCCCTTCTATAAATCTTGAATCTTCCTAATCATTGCTCTAATATATTCCTTAAGTCAAGGGGGATTCAGTAGCGTGAGCGCACGCACATAGATATACACATTATTTTACCTATAAAACAGTGAAGCTTTCTGACGAAGGAGGTTCAGTTGAACCCCCTTGAATCAAGACAAGTCTGCTTCTGATTAATCTGTAGACATGCTAAGCTACTTTATGCTGAAGGCAGTAAAGCATAAGCCTGATTTTAATGCCACTCTTAATGCAAAAGATTATTCTAGTGGTCGCCCTTGTATATTGTTGAATAAATCTTTTAACACCCTCTGAATGGCAAAAGTAGATGATGTTTCTTTATGTCAAACCTCTAAACGCTGCTATACGATTGAAAAGATGGTCAATAGCTTTTCCCAAAATTTTCCTTCAAATAGTGAAAGCTCTCACTTGCTCTTTTGTTTCATTGTGGATAACATCGGATTCTAAGGAAAGTGGTATTCTCTGCTGCAGTAGCTTTAGCCAAAGCAACTACTTCAGTTTTTTTAAATGTTTAATTGAGTCGTTTTGCCTTTATATTGGTAACCAGGCATTTCATTCTCATACTGATGTTCTTTTATGCATGCAGAACCAATCTGTCTCTTTCTCCTGAAGACAGCTGGCTACCAATTGCTAGCATCCTCTTGTGCATCTTCCACATTCAAGTAATATATCTACAGTCTATCTCAAACTCAATAAATCAATTATACTGAGGTCCTAATTAGAAATATTCTCTGGTTCCAGCTAGAAGTAAGTATCAAAAATGGAGATTTTCAGGCATTGAACAAATTTACTGGGACTGGAGAGGAACTATCATCAGTTTCTAGGAAGAAAGATGATAGCATCTCTGAAGAGGTATCAATCACTTGAAATGCTTATTACAAAAACTAAATGATTTAGAAGTTTAATATTCGTATCTAATATTTTTTTCAAAATGGATTGAAGGAGGAAACAAACGATCATAAGAACTTGCCTTCAGCACAAGAAGAATCAAGAGATGAGATAAGGAGGTGGGAAATTTCTAGAAGGCCTTCCGGAAATCCTGAGGACTTGAATGAAGATGAAGAAGATCTTAGTGGAAGGAAACACTAAATTTGCCTGCTTAAGCTCAGTTTTGAGGAGCTCAAAGCCAATCCTTTGATGGAGCACAATATATGCTGGAGTATAACTATGTAGGTAGTTCAGCGACGGAAAAAATTAAGCACTTCTGTGTCCGCGAAAGTAGATTGATCTTAATGTGCTATGATTCAACTCTGCACCAGATATCTAAATGGTCTGTTATCAAGATTGGATCAGCGCAGACTATTTTTTCACAGCTGTAGTATGACTGACTTATCTGTTTTTGATTGTATTTTAGTGGGGTTTTCCCCTCGTGTTGTTTCTCTATCTGAGCTCTATTTGGATCACCCCTAATGGGTGATAGTGTTGGGAGTCGATGAAAGCTTGTAATTTTAGTTTTTTGACACTGAACATCCTTGAGTTTCTTGCTATGTTGGCAGGTCTCAGCTCAGAAATTGTGTAATTTCATCAGGAAGAATTTTAGTATCTTAAATTCTTAAATTCCAGTATTTGCAGTGCATCAAATTATTGCATAGAAACCTTGCCTATTCAACAGTAAAAAATAGTGGTCATAGACCCTAAAGTCCAACGATATCAACAGCAAATTATATCTTAATCCCCAAGCAAAATAATTTGTAGTGTTGGAAAGAAATAAATTAACACTAAATCACTTGTCGATAAGAGAAGGGAGATTAGAAAATATCAATAAAAATTTTAATATAGCAAAGGAAAAGTATAGACATCAAAATATTCCTGCCCCGTCTGTCATAATTTACTTTTTCCAATTTTGAAGCCGACTAAAATCGTTTAATTGCCACCTTTGCTTTTACTTATTTATTATGCATTTTTAAAGTAATATTTTCTACTTAAGAAATAGTCTACTTTATTTATTAAAAAAAATCACTCTTAGGGGTGGTCTGATAGGAGGTATTAGAAAAAATAATGCAAGCATTAGCTCTATGCTTTACTAATACCTTGTTTGGTATATTTTTTTTTAACCTGTGTATAACTAATACTCATACTTGGTATTATCTTATGTATAAATAATGCATAGAAAACATGACATTAGTAATACCAAGGCTACTAATGCATGCATTAGGTTGGTTAAAGATAAAATTATCCTTAAAGTCCCTTAAAACTTGAGAATATGAACGGTATTTTTGTAAACAACTATTTTTCTTAAAAATTATACAATGCATTATAATTTTAATACACCACAACAAACAATATATAAAAAATAATATCTGCATAACTAATACTTGTATTACTAACCTATACATTAAATCCATGCATTACTAATACATTCCGCACTATGTTATGCACCGTAGCAAAAGACTCCTTGGTTGTTACACTTCACGTTTCCTTTCCCTAGACGCAGCTCGCGCCTGGCATTTGCGCTTAGAAGCTTTGTTAGTTATATTAGTTAAAATCCATTCTAATATTCCTTTCTCATTCCAGAAGAAGAACAGAATCCCTAAAAAGCTGAGCTTAGTCTCTCTAAATCAATGGCGGAATCAGGCACTGATGCAAAGACAAAGCTGATAGTANAAGAAGAACAGAAGCCCTAAAAAGCTGAGCTTAGTCTCTCTAAATCAATGGCGGAATCACGTACTGATGCAAAGACAAAGCTGATAGTTGAGCTTGTACTCTCCGCTGCTACGGCAGCTTTAGGGATGGTTTTCATATTCGCTGGGCTTCGTCATCTCGATCCCAATCGCGAAGCTTCTAAGAGAGCTCTCGAATCCCGCAAACAGCTCTCTAAACGCTTAGGTCGTCCTCTTATCCACACCACTCCTTATGAGGTAAACTCAGAAAATACGAAATGGTCAATATATCTAAATTTTTTTTTTATCTCTATTCATGCACCATTTTCGCTATATTTTGGATTTTGTTTTAGAAACTAGTAGTTTATAAAAGTACTACATATCACGGTTGATGGAAATTTTAGTTTATTTTACTTTTTACGATGGTGGTGCTCGGGTCAGCTTGAGCACACCTTGATTATTTCCACCGCGTACTTGCTACACAAGCACATGTACTGACTAACTCTGCCACAAACGCTTAGGCCGAGAAATCACCTAGTCATTTTTGTCTCTGTTGGGATTTAAACCTGAGACCTCATAGTTTTTCTCACTTCATTGACCACTGGCTATAGCCTTGGATGTTATCGTGGTTGATAGAAAATTCTTTTAAAATAATTTTGTAAAAACCATAGTAAGAAAATGTTTGACTCTCAAGTGTTAATAGTTTATAATGTCGTACAATGATGTAAAACGGGACAGAGTGGAGTAAGGCTTAATTATGATGCTTACTTACATCCCGCTTAGCAGTATGGAAAGTTAGAGAACCTCTAATGTTAGGGAACTCACAAATTATTGACTGTCAGAGTGAAATGTGGCCAAATAGAGTGAAATGGCAGTGTGAATTCATATGCCGACCCCAACTAGCTTGCGGTTGAGGCGTAGTTGTTGTTGTTGGTGACAATTTTACAGGATATGATTGCTGGGATTGTTGTGGTTTGATCTTCTTGGAAAATTTGGTCTCCATTTATTGAGTAACTCTTTGCAGGATATGATTGCTGGGGATGTTGTGAATCCAGACCACATAGATGTGGAGTTTGATTCGATTGGGGGGCTGGATGGGATTAAGGATACTTTGTTTCAGCTGGCCATTTTACCTCTACGAAGGCCTGAATTGTTTTGTCATGGGAAATTGCTTGGTCCAATGAAAGGGGTTCTGTTGTATGGACCACCTGGGACAGGGAAGACAATGCTTGCTAAAGCCATTGCTAAAGAGTCTGGTGCTGTGTTCATTAATGTGAAGGTTTCTACTCTCATGAGCAAGTGGTTTGGTGATGCGCAAAAGCTTGGTGAGTATTTTGAATTTCCTTTGCGTAGCTAAGTATGTTTTACATTAGAGGTCTAACTAAATTTTTGTTCTGTCTTTTGATTGAAAACTCCATATTAAGTGCAATGATCTGTTTGGTGGGGTAGATAAGAAATTGGAGGGGTTGATTTAGCATGCTAAGAATTTGATATATGAAAACTTTTTACTTTCCTTTCATGCTTAGGAGTCAGGAGGGAATGTATTTCTTAAATGATGCTCAATTTGTTTGCTAGTGTCCTGAATGTTTTATGAAGGAGCTACTCCAATCTGTCTTTACAGTAATGTGGTGTCGCTGATAAGAAGAAAGTGGAAAGGTTTAGGAGCTATGGAGGGGTTAGGTTTTAGGAAGTGGAGTCATGGGATGCAGATTCAGCACGCTATCTTCCTTCATGAGTGAATTTTGTAGCAAGGGATTGACTTTCTATTGCTAACAAATGCAGTTACTGGAAAGTGGGAAGGAAAGAAGACGAAACTGGATAAGGCTAGACTGCATATTCATCTGCATGCTATATCAGCATTAACTAGCTATATGTTCATAATAAGCACATGATCTTTTGTTTTTCTCTTTAACCTTTCTTTCCTCTCCTTATCTGTTTTTGGTTTGGTTTTTTGTTGCAGTTGCTGCTATTTTTGGTTTGGCCTATAAGCTCCAGCCTGCTATAATATTTATTGATGAAGTTGACAGCTTTTTGGGCCAGCGTCGTGCAAGTGAGACTGAAATGCTGACTAGCATGAAAACTGAGTTCATGGCCTTATGGGATGGTTTTACTACTGATCGTGAGTAACTATCTGCGAATAGCTGGTTCTTTTTTGGCTTCACTTCATATTCAAATTCACATATAAATTTTGCTTTTAGTCATGGAAATTTATAGCACTCTTGTACTTTCACGTTTGGGTCTTCTTTGTTTGAAATATTTATGTAGCATCTACTTAACGGTGTTTTGGAAGAATGCTATATAATTCAGTAAACTGTGCTTGGATTGATATACTATTTTATAATAGTTTACTTTCTATCTTAATGCTGTAGGATACAGATATTTATAAGTTACATCAGCACTAGCTGACTAGTTATGTTAAAGAATTGATACATTAGCTTGTATTTTAAGGAGTGTTTGTATAACCATTAGGCATAGTATGTCCAAGGAATGCATCCTAGCAAGTACAATTGACTTGCTTTAGAAAGGAGGGGGTGGGGGCTAGATACCTCCTAGTGTTACGTCAATGAGGATTAGAGGCTCTTAGCATTGTTACCTTTTCCCTTATTATAGGTATCTTTATAGTGTGGTTGGGTCGGCTATGTATCCAGGGTCTTAGCATTATTTTTTACTCCAAATTATTGAGTATTAGAGTGAAACAGCTCCATGTGGAGTGAAATGGATTTTGAGGATTCATAGCTGACCTCAACTAGCTTGAGATTGATTTTTGCTTATACAACAATAACTATGCCTCAATTCAGCTATTTCTCAACTTTGATGGAATTAAGTGGTCAATGCCTGGGATCTCACAGGATTTTTAAGTTGGTGGTATAGGCAAGGGTTGGGCAAAGTGAGAAAGAGCTGGTGGCATACAACTCCAACTTGTATCTGGTGGGTGATTTGGAGAGACTCAAGATCTTTTGAAGGCAAACAAAAATCATCCACAAGAATAAATTATGTTGTATATTGTTATTTCACTTTCGTGTAAAAAGGAATATGCAAATGAGGCAGAAACTTTAATTCCTAGAATCCCTCTAAGATTAGAAGAGGGCTACACTTTTGTTTGTTTTCTCACTTGTACAGAAAATTCCAGCACTACCTTTGTGCTGTTATGAGTACCACTATTACCATTTCAAGAAAAAAACTTACTATGCCTCTATCACAAACAAATTAGGGTCGGGTATATGAATTCTCACTTCTCCATTTAAGCTCAGCTCATGTTATCATCATACCAAATAAAAATAAGGCAGAATAGCCTAGTAGACCCCTAAACTTGTTCCGGTTTGACATTCCGGTCCTTCTACATTGTTTTTATCCAAACTCTTTTACTTAATCAAAACATATATTTTAAACCCCCCTGACCGTTGACCGATCATATGTGGCAACATTATGGCTGAGTTGGACAACAAGCGTGTAATTCACGCATACAATGAGCGTGAACATAAATAATTGGCCTAAGAAATGATTGAACTAAGAAGAAAATAATAATAAAAATGAAAAAAACAGTAAAATTTAAAGGAAAAAAACTAATCCCCCTTCCCGTTCTTCCCCAAAAACCATCTCCCATTTCTATTTCTTTTTCTCTTTCTTCCCCTTCCCGCCTTTGTGCTGTTATGAGTACCACTATTACCATTTCAAGAAAAAAACTTACTATGCCTCTATCACAAACAAATTAGGGTCGGGTATATGAATTCTCACTTCTCCATTTAAGCTCAGCTCATGTTATCATCATACCAAATAAAAATAAGGCAGAATAGCCTAGTAGACCCCTAAACTTGTTCCGGTTTGACATTCCGGTCCTTCTACATTGTTTTTATCCAAACTCTTTTACTTAATCAAAACATATATTTTAAACCCCCCTGACCGTTGACCGATCATATGTGGCAACATTATGGCTGAGTTGGACAACAAGCGTGTAATTCACGCATACAACGAGCGTGAACATAAATAATTGGCCTAAGAAATGATTGAACTAAGAAGAAAATAATAATAAAAATGAAAAAAACAGTAAAATTTAAAGGAAAAAAACTAACNACACCCCCTTCCCGTTCTCCCTCCCAATTTTCACCCAAAAACCATTTTAATCATTGTAATTTCTAGATTTCTAAAGAGCAAAGGATGGGTTGTTCGATTTTAACGGAGAAGTGAATTTGCTTTTTTGAAAAAAAAAATCTGTTCAGTTTATCTAGAAATGAAGTGTGTTGTTTGTCAATAATAAGAAACCAATGGAGAATGAAGATTGATCTCTAGATAATGGAGATGGTTGGGAAGTGAATTTATCTTTTTGGTTGTATCAGTGAAGGAATAAAGATGGAGGAGTGCGGAAGTGTTCTCCGGTGGCCGGAGGAATTTTCCAGCAATGGCAGCGGTGGAGTTGTTGGCGGTAAGGATAAGAGATGGTGGAGTAGGAAAACAAAATGAAGATAAAGTCAAAAAATAAAAGCAAAAGTCAAAAAGGGTTAGTTTTTATTTTTTGTAAAATAAAAAATGACATGGAATATTTTATCCCATGTGGATTATGATATTGCGCGATTGTGAGATACACATCGTCACAAGGTTTCAAAACATAGATTTTGATCAAGTAGAAGGGGTTGGATGAAAGAAAGTGAAATAGAAGGACCGGGATGTCAAACCGAAACAAGTACAAGTGTTTACTAGGCTATTCTGCCTAAATATAAGTGAGAACTAATTTAACTATATAAAAATAATAGTAACAATAATTTTAATAATAATAATTATTATTATATTAGAAGTTCTCTAACAAGACTAAATTGTACTCCCGCTAGTAGATATCACCTATATGACTTTTTTCTTCCATTGTGTCTTATCTTTAGCGAAGTCTGCATTGATCCCAAGAAATACTAGGCTTTACGAGACAACTTCGTTCCCATGAGATTTTAGGTCTACCTTGTCCGCGACCCCAACTTGTTTGAAAAGTGAGCTTAAATTGATGTTTACATATTTCCATAAAAAAAGGAACTAGCTTCAGATTGCTGTTTAGTTGTTTCAGTTCTTGTTCTATAAGTAATTGTATACATAAATAGTTTTTCATCTTAAATATATATACATAAGAAGAACAGCTGTGTTGTTTAAAAGAAGAAGACAGGACGGAGGTGGAACACGTGACCAGAGTTTTATTCTGAACCTTCTCTACCAGTGTGCCGGGATTGGTGTTTAGCCAATCTAAAAACTGTATCAATCAATCAACTAATATTAGTTGGAGAATCAGTTTAAAAATTTATACTCATCTTTTCAATTAAATAGGATCATATAGATACATGTATGGTAAATTATTAGGCGAAGCAGTCTTGCCACACTGTTCACTGCAATTTTGTTCCGCCCCTGCCTTGGTAGCTTTATTGCTTTAGTTTGTTAGGGAATTATATCTTATTTTGACATGCTTCCCATTGTTACTTGGTGCTTTTTGTATGAATTTCTTGCAGAAAATGTGGCCTTATACAACATGTTTCATGAATGCTATGCTATATGTAAGTGATAAAGGAATGAATTTTCCTTCTCTGCAGAGAATGCTAGAGTTATGGTCCTGGCAGCAACCAATCGCCCAACTGACCTTGATGAGGCAATACTTAGGCGCTTTTCTCAGTCATTTGAGATTGGGAAACCTTCCCTTAGTGATAGAACAAAGATATTTAAGGTAGTATTGAAGGGTGAGAGAATTGAAGATAACGTTGACTTTGATCGACTTGCTGGCTTGTGTGAGGGA